AAATGAATTACTTCCCAAGAGAACTGATTGTCATTCTTTTGAAACTCTCTCACCTTCCTGGGTCATGGTCAATGCCAGGTTTGTTTTTTGTTGTTGTTTTTTCCTGGTACCAGGAATTGAACTCAAGACCTCACACTTGCCAGGCGGGCGCTGTGCCTCTGAGCTAAATCCCCAGCCTCTGATGGTTAGGATGATTTCTGGTACCTAGCAGATGAGTCAAGTTATAGGTTCTAACTTAAAAAATTACAGAGAAAGAAAACAAGCAGCAACAACCAAACAGCAAGGAAGAAAAGTCACATTACATGAAGTCTAAGGAGAGCAGGAACAAGCTTCCAAGAGTCTGCTACCAGTGGACTCACACAGATGTGCCTAATTCTCCCCACAATGAGTTGTGAGATTATGATGGAGTGAAGTGCAGTCTGCCAGGGAAATCTGTTGGACAGTCAGTGTTCAGGGTACTTATTGGGGCTCTTTGCCTGCCATGTACCAACATGGCAGAAGGAAAGATGTTCAAAAGGAGAGAGGTGTTTAGCATAAACCTCTTTATGCACAGAAAGTTTAGGTACCATGTTAGCTTTCTATTACTAGAACAAAGTACCCAAGGAAAACAGTTAAAGGTGGAAGAGTTTATTTTGGGTCATCATTTCCGGGTGTTAGTCCATGGCTGACTGATTCCATTGCTGTGGGCCTGAGGAGAGGCTTCCCCTGTGGAGGACGAGTGTGGTGAAGCAATGCTGCTCACCTCATGGCAGTTGGGAAGCAGAAAAAGCGAGATGGCCAGAGAGGAAGGGGACAGGACAAGGTGTGCTCTCAAAGGCGACCCTGGAGGCCCGCTTCCTCTAGTGAGTACAACCTCCTCATGGCTCAGTTAGCTGTGAACGCATCAGTGATTAATACACTGATGGGAACAGCACTGTCGCACTCCCATCACTTTTCTAGGTTCCCACCTCTGGACAGTGGTACACGGAGAGCAAGCCTTTGCCATATGAGCCTTTTAGGGCACATTTTAGATCCACACCATAGCAGGCACTGCAAACCACTCTACCCCTTGGGAATGGTGGGGGCACTCCTAAAACAGGTCTCCAGATGCTAGCTGAAGGCCAATCTTTTAAGCAAGCTTTTCTAAGGATAATAATCTACTTCTGCAAGGGATACACTGAAAATAGTCAGACTTTCTAGTTCATGAATCTCATTTTCAGGAATTTTTAAAGCAAACAGTGTAAAACAGCAATACTATATACACTAAGATGTTACAGCAATATTATTTAAATTAGTTAAAAGATGTAAACAGGCATCAAAAATGAAGAATGGCTCAGTAAATTACAATATAATAGTGTGAAGAAATATTAAAGTCATTAAAATTATATCTTAGAAAACTTTTAATGATGAAAAGGTAAATCAAGATATTAAGTTATATATCTCCACTCAACTCAAAAATAAGAGAAATACAGAATGAATTTAGAAAGGAGTATACTGAAATATCACGATTCATTTCTAGGGGACAGATATATAAAATAATTTTTATTTGCCTTCACCTTTTTCTGTGTTTTCATTTTTTATTTAATGAACATATATTTACTTAGAAATAATCAGAAAATACGTTATAGTAACAATTGTGTTAAAATAGTTTGGTCTGTGGATCCAAAGTCAGTTTTGTTAAAATGTAAAAATACTTAGCAAATACAGTGTATAATATATTATACATAAGGCAGGGCTTAATTGAGGAACTTTTAGAATGGCAAATAGCCATTTAAAAATGCCATATAAAAATATGCTTCAAATTAGCTATCACAGAAAAAAGATACAAGAAGGGAAGATTTTTTTATAAATGCTAAAAAAAGCACAATGATTAATTTTTATTGTAAGGAAGAGATGGAACACGAACTAGGAAATGCAAAAATAAAAATATTTCCAAAGGACAAAACAAAGAATGGATTTCCTAAATTACTTTGCTTGTTTCCAAGATCACAGTTCATCTACTCTGTGCAGTATTAGTAATTTAAGTCACATACATTTGCATGGGTTTAGGGAGAACTAGGTAATTACAAACTTCTCTTGGAGAAGGTGATTTCTAATGTATCTAGTTGCAATGCCTCTTTTTTGTTGTTGTTGTTGTTTTTTTGAGACAGGGTTTCACTGGAAGAAGTGATCCTCCTGCCTCAGCCTCCCAAGTGCTGGGATTACAGGCGTGAGCCACCACATCCAGCTCTAGTGTGAATCCCTCCAGCTTTGCTTTAGTACATCCACCCTTGTCCGACAGACACCACTTCATAGAAAGCTAGTTTCCTACTGCCTGCTATCACTCCATTAAGTTGCCAAGTAGAAAACAGACACTGATTGTATTCACTTGGGACAGATGAGGTAGTTTATAGCTTATTTTAAATCACAAAGCATTGCTTTTGTGTACTGAATTGGCCTAGGGCTATGGACACTGTGCAACAGAGACCCACAGAGTCCAGCTCCCTCCCCACGCGACCTCCACCAGCGGCTGCTTCCCTGGCCTGCCAGAACACGCAGACCTGGAGGGCGCCCTATGCTGGGGCAGTGGGCGCACTCCCTGCCTCTCAAGGGATTCCTGGGCCAAGTTAGAAAAACCAAACTGTGAAGAGCCGTGGCAATGGCGAGGACCCTCGGGGGTGGTGCAGAATTTTTCTGGTTAGGAAGGGAAATGTGGTTAACCCAACTGTCCCTGGGGTACAGAGACAGGCAGCAAGAAGCACTCTCACTGCTGCTGTTCAACTATGCATTTCTGTTTCCAGTGTCAGAAACAATGACTCTTTAAATGGTTCAGCTATATTCTGAAACTTAACTGCTTACAAAAAGAGTCAAGTGCTTTAAAGGGCCATGTTTGGAGGAGGAGCAGGGAAAGAGGCCAGGAGAACCAAGCACTACTACAGATTCTTTTGAGTAGAGTTTTATCGGCTCGTAAGAATGGCGCCTGCTCATGGCTGTTCCAGTATGACCAGCAGTTCTCCAATCTTGCTTGCCTCCCCATTTCTCTTTCTCAGGAAGCAGCAGCACATCATATTAGAAAAAGCAGGGAACTTGGTGTCAAAAATTGGGGTTCAGACTTAACACTCACATTAACAAATTTCAGATACTATGCTTTTCCTAACCCTCACCCTTACCTTAACCCTAATCCTAACCCTAGGCAAAAGCATAGTATCTGGCATCTGAATTTTAGGCTTCTCCTCTTTAAAATGGGAATACCAAAAAAGTCACCCTTTTTTAGCCTACATGATTGTGAATAAAAAAATGTTTAAGTAATCTGAAAGTGCTATCTAAGCATTTATTATTGCTGCTGTTAGGCCTGCCTGCTACGTGGAAAGCACTTAACAAATGTTCATGAAGTTGTTAATGAGCTGGGCTAGTTACAGTAGACAATTTGTAAGATTGGATAAATTAAGAGCCTAAACCAACAGTAACACTTTCGCTTAAACTTTTATAGATATTTAACTCCAAAATACTAATATATGGAATGAAGTTGAACCACTTGGAAGTATTCTGGTGGAAAACAACGCCTCAACTGCACAAGTAGGTTGCTGTAAGCGTCACACAGTGAGACCTCAGGTGTGGCAGATGGCGGCTACTAAGTCAGGTTTGGTTAAAGTGGAGAAGCAGCAGCAGAAGAGGTTAAGAGTTGAAGGCTTAGCTAACAAACTGCATGACCTTGGGGAAATTATTTAATCTTTTCTAATTATTTAATTAGTTTTCATATCTGTAGACAGGAATAACTATAGTATCTACCTCTCAGAATGTCCATGCAGATTAAATGCAGAAACAAATCCTTCACCATACAGTTAGGTGCTTAGCTATCACCATCGCCGTCACACTACAGACAAGACAACTCTTTATGAGTGGAACTACACCACAAATGACCCGTTTTACAAACTGAGTTTAACCCTAAGTCCTAATAGAGAAACACGTTTGTCTCTGAAAAATTGCAAAGCGGGTCCTCTGTGGTCCCACATCTTGTGAGGTTCCCACATGCCAGTCTGCTGCTGGGTGAGGTTAGCTGTGCCTACTGGGAACTGTGGCTCCCAGAAGCAAGTGGGAGCGGATGTCCAAGGTACAATTCTTCGAATTTCACTAACCATTCTCAGAACCACCCAGATTCCCTAAGTTATACTTTTAAAATTTAACATTTTTAATCAAAATTGCTCATGTCCTGTGTTTGCTTCTAGTAAAATTTGCCTTTCTTTTTTTCACATGGAAATGTTAATGCTTGGGCTGTGCACACATGCATATTTTTTCTAATTTGCACTGAGTGAAATCTTGCTAACACAGGAGTCGGAATAATGAAGCCCTGAGAGAGGAATCTCTTATAATAGTATATACCATGGTAAATGATGGTGGTGGTCAATGAAGCAATTACTTCACATTTAATCTCCTATGGAAATCTAATAACTGCATTTAAAAGAAATAAAACCTAACCTTTCTTGAGATGTCCTGCCAAATGAGTCAAAAACCTTAATTCTAGACCTATAAAATTAATCAAAATAATCCAACTGTGTAACTCTACTACTTCTTATCACAGAGCTTCCAGTAAGCAGTAAATTTTGGATCATGGCTATAGGAGACGTTCTTCCCCGCCTCCCTGAGAGCCGTGTCCTGGAGCTCACAGTCCACTCCTCGGGGATGTGGGGGCCCCCTCCCCTGGGGGAAGGCTGGGTCGAGCTGCCTCAGCAGGTGCTGTCCTCCAGCTTGCCTGCCTCCCTGCCTCGTGACCACGCTAACTGCCAGCCGGAAGCAGCCTGTTGTCTACTGAGCTGCTGCAGACCGAACAGACTGTGAATCCAGCCAGAGGAGAAGAGGTTGTTTTAATTGGCTAAATCTGCTGTGTACTAAGCGTATGGCCATGAATTTATAGCCAAATACTAAGCTAAAAAAAAGAAATGCAGTTTAAATACGAAACAAGAATGATATTTTTGCTCATCAATTCTAGTTTTGCCATGAGCCATCCTAACCTAAGATTTTACAATGAGTCCAGAATCCTTTACCTTGGTTGAAGTTGAATTTTCATGGTATACGCCTTGCACCAAGTCCATAAGAGCACTTGATAAAAGTTCCACGACCTAAAAAAAAAGAAAAAAAAAAAAGGAAAAAAAATTATTCCCATTTTTACCTCAGAATGCTTCAAAAGACAGGATCTGTGCTTAACAATAGCAAAAAGAGTTATGTGCAAAGATCCTGGCAAAAGGCATTGCCCACCTGCATATTAAAGCTGTGATCCAATTTTTCTCAGTCATAATTCAAGGCAAAAGATCTTATAAGCATAGCATTTAACTAATACACATGAAAATCCAGTAATAACCATTTTGAACATAAGCTTAACTTTCAGATACTGAATGAAATCTTAATTCAATTTATTTTCTGCGTATTTATTTCTGTCAGGTGTATACTTTTTCAGGATTCTCATTCTGGGAGCCATTATAAGGCTAATCTACATACCTAATACAGAAAGAAAAAAAACAGCAAGAGAATGGTTAATCTTTCCAAAGTGTTCATTTGTTGTACTTAAAATGCACTGTGGATATATTTGATGTAGGACCCTTGGGTCAAATGTACCATAAACACTGAAAATTTTTACAGAACTGCAATGTTGAGATCATATTCATCAAACCTGTATTATTTTCAAAGCTCAGACTATTTAAAAAAGAAAATCAAGCAAAATCAAAAGCTTTGAACTTGTTCCAGAATGTAAAACAAGCAGAAAACAGTAAATGGTCTCTTTGGAACTACTGCACAATTTACAGTTGTTTGCATAAAGCATTTTAATCCAAGAAGATAAAATAGTGCTGTTAATGATAATGTCCAGGCAGCATTTCAAACAAGGATCCCTCACGGCAACCCTGTCCACTTCTTACGAAGTCTTAATATCTGGTATATTTAACTTCCTACATTATGCAGTCTTGTATCTGATTTCCACTCTTCGCTTCCTAAAATTTAGCTCAGTTCTGATTGAATTAAGGGATTTTGTTTCAGCTTTTATCATTCTTGTAATTGAAGACATTATTAAGCCAAAGAATATAGAGCCAAACAACAAGATACTTTACTCTTAGGTAGTTGTTATTTAATAAACATTTTCTTAGAAGCAAATTATATTAATTTGTAGAAAGACTTGCTTGAAAATTTAACACATGAGCGTTTATCTCCAATTTTCTATCTACATTCATACTGTGTAACATACCCAGGGCTGCTGGTATGGAAATTTTTGCTGATTAAAGGCATACTTTTTTCTACTTCTGTAGGTAGGTTAATTTGTAAGACCTATACCGAGCTTTTTTTTTTTTTTTAATCACATTGTCCTTTAGGTAACTGAATACTTAAGAAATATTGTAGCAATATGAGCTGCAGAGGAACTAGAAGGACAATGATCCTACAGTGTTACCAGATGTGTTGAGTTATTTAAGTGGGGAAGAGAGAAAAATGAATGGATTTTTTTCCCCTGAAGGTATCAGATAAGCCCTATTCCCAAATCCAGCAGGATTCAGTATCACCAATAGGTCTATGAAAGGCTGTAACTAAATGCACAGTATTGGATTGGATTACAGTTTATACAAGCAACATCCCAAGATCCCCCTGATGGCCGGACACATAATACAGATCAATCACTCACTAAGAAATGTTATGGTTTTGAAACAGTTTGAGCCTGAGCAGTATCAGTAAAGTGAAGAGGGATTTACAAAGAGAAAGTCCAACAAGAAATGTCAAAATGATGGCATGAACTTTTACGAGTAGATCTGGCTCTGGATAACTAGAGTGTTCCTTTCTTCCCTGAAATTCCAGACCAGGTAGAAGCAACAAAACCATTTTGTTCTCTAACTCTTTCTCTCTCAATGCCATTAGCAAATACTGGCAGATCTGCCCTAGAAGGTCATAATTTATAAATGACTCATGCTTGCAAGTGGCCATACCTTAGAATACACCTCCATAGCCAAGACAAACATTAAGGATAAAGATTTGGACTTCTTTGAGGAAATAAACTGAAAAGGAGGAGATTAGGAAAAAGAGTAATAGCACAGAAGAGCTCAATGTGTCCTAAGCCAGGATGACCTACCCAGTGCACAAATAAATTCCTTCCCATTACCAGAAATGTTTATTAATTTAAAAAATCATACCAAGGAAAGATGTGTTTAAGTATCTTCCTTTAAAGTTGCAAGTTCTTCTGGAAAGAACACAGGGCTATCAGCCACTTACCACTCATAATTTAGTAAGATTGTTTAATGAGCTGATCTTTTTTGCCTTACTTGGTTTATTATCCCAGCAGTCACCTGCTGGGTTACCTATTATATTTAAAAATAAGAAAACACCTACTTAATAACATTTCCCCCACTCTGATTCTTAAGAAATGATTTGTTCAAGCTACTAAAAGTGCTAGGAAGGATAACGGCAGCCAGAGGAGAATCCAGAGGCTTAAGGTTCCAGCCCTTCTGCGACTTCTTCACTAGACTCTTGGTGTGCTGGCCAAGAACAACCAAGGAGGATCTAAGGGCTTTTGCTCTGCAGGCCAGGGGTGGCAGGCAGGAAGCAAATGTTTCTATCAGACAGAAAATAGGCCACAAGGGTCCCAGTGTTAGCCACCCCGGAAGCCCAATAGATGGAGAACTGTAAGGAAACGGAATAATCCCAAGAGCCAGAGGATCTACATTCCATTTTAGAGCAGACTACTAGTTTTGCTGACTTGGGGAAAATCAACTCTGAGCTATGGTTTTCCTTCACTATAAAATGAGGAGAGTTGCAAAGATGATTCCTGAAGTTCTCTTTTAGTTCTAAAGTTCTGATCTATTAGAAATGCAGATCTTACTATTTATAATTAAGCATGCAAATTTGAAAATAGTTTTTTGGTAAACTTCGATGAAAAATCTTTGCTCATGCTTTTTTTGTTATCTTCACATGTACCTTCCTTCTATCTGAAACCTACTAGTTACTTTGTGAAATTTTCTGTACCCAGCCCTTCTTCATTCTAATACTTAAAATGATAATAAAATACTTTCTATGTTTTAAACCACTACAACTGCTAATCTACCTTACCAGCTGGTAAAGAGGTTTTCATTGAGTCAACTTAGGGCAACATTAGTGAGTTCGGATCCTTGAAGGACTCTGGTGATTGGAGCATATACGTTGAATTCAGAATGACATTAGGCTTAACTGCCAAGTAGTATCCAAAAAATAATGGCACCAGTTGGCCATATCACTTCCATCTCCAATGAGTAAATATATAGAGCATTTAAAATTTTAAAATTTTTATTAGTACATGTTTACAGTATATAATGAGTATACTCATCCTGGGGAATTGGTACATGTACATAATACACCTCAATTCTTTTCTCCCCCTAACCCTCTATCCTCTTCTTACAAAAAGGTTTTTTGCAAGCATCAGATTCATTTATTCATTTTATAAGTTCTTATCAAATTATCATAAACACAGAACAACAGCTAGACTAACAGACCAAAAATCATATAAAACACATAAGACGATTATACTAAGTCAAGGTACACTTTTAGATACATTGGCCATGCTGGATTACAATAACTTTTTTCTCTTTGTTTTACTTATTGTCTGTCTTTTATTTTGCAATTTATTTAGTAAATATATAGAGCATTTAGAAGACAATCTGAAACAGTAAGTCTTAGTTGGTATTATTCTTCTATACTTCTAGATTATTTCTCTACATGCAATAAAAGTCTTGGGTGGATGAAGGTCACAGCATGGAAACCGAGATTACAGTCTTTAAAATTGTGTGCCCAGATATTCTGGAAGAAAGAAAGCTTTAGTTTAGCAATGAGCACATGAAAGACTATTTTAAGCACAATTAGAGATCTCTGCAACATTGAAATATGGTATCCTGAAACATAATTTTCAATTATATGACTGTTACCATCAATATTATAAAGTTTACTTTAGTAATCTTTAAGGGCAATTAAACAGGAACAAAATTTGTGCATTTCTGGCAACTGCAACAATAGCAGCACTGCTTATTTATAAATGCAAATACAAAAATGATTTCTTCATTTGTGTCATGTTTAAATTGCACTCTACAGTAGTCTACTATCTCTCAGTCTTTTGAGTGACATCTTAAAGAGTCCAGGGAACTAGAAGTGGCAACCCTGCAATCCTTCGCAGTGTTAGTTACGAGCTGGCTTTTTCTGCCACCTTCCCTTTTTTGGCGGTGGGGTGGTGAATGGGGAGAGGGCTGCAACATATGGAAGTACATGGACAGTGCATATGCATTGCTACTCTCAAGCAAACTTGATCTCTCTCACTACATTCATTAGTCTCTCACTGAAGATAAGGAATAGGTAGGACGCAGGTGTATCTGAACCTTAGCGCAACTACAGTTCTGATATAATTGACCTTTACACTGATCTTCTTAAATGGTTAATTTAAAGGACAAGCCAGCAATTTCAAAGGAATACACAATTGCTTCTTTCTTTACCTTTTGGCAAGAATAACTATAATTCAGTGATTTCCTTTTTGTTGTTGTTGAAAAACTATGATGACAACTCTCATAAAAGGCATTGTGATGACTAATCCCTGAGTTATATTATGTTATATTCATAAAAAACAGAACTTGAAGGCTGGAGTTGTAGCTCAGTTGATAGTGTGCTTGCCTAGTTGGCAAGAGGCCCTGGGTTTGATCCCCAGCACTGCAAACAAAACAAACAAACAAACAAGTTGAAATTGAGAGGTAGGGAGAGGTTAGAGAAGAACAGTGACCAAAAATAACCTCATGTTGCTCTATGAAGACATTTGTAACATGTTCCTAAGGAAAAAAGCTGGCTACAAAACAAAATAGTGTGACAGGCATTTTTAAACCAAAAGGGAGGTACGTATGTGTTTATATATACTGAGAAAAAAGGCTGAAAGAAAACAAAATGACAATAGAGATAATATACAAGTGATAGATTCTGGATTATTTTTAATTAAGTAATTTTTCTTCAACCTTTCTGTATTAGCCAGCTTTCTTCTTGTTGGGACAAAATGTAAGGCATCTTGAAAGGAGGAGGGGTTTCATTTGGCTCATGTTTTAACCCGTGGCCGACTGGCCCGAAACACCATGGCAGAAGTAGA